TGTCAGACAGCAACTTGAAAACCTGCTCTGCAATATCCTCCTTTGACAACAGTGATGAACAGCGTCCTGTCCGTCAGTCCTCAAGGTCTCAAACACACAGATGGAGATCTGGAATTCCAGCTGTTTTGTGTTTTGGGGTTTTCTGGAGAAATTATCTGCTATAATTTTAGATGCAATACTCTGTACTTCCTATTGTGAACATTTTTGGTTTTGGTTTTTTTTTTTTTTATTAAACAAAAAGAAAATTGATCAGTCCAGCAGTGGCACCACCAGAGGAAGTCCCAACAAACCACAGACCCACAGTTTCTCAACACGAACAGCAAGCAAGGGCACAGCTGCTGAGGAGCACTCTGAGGAGGGGAGTTGATTACTTGGCTGCAGCAAGTGGGACCCCTTCACTTCTCCGTCACCTCCAAACAACACATCCCTGTTCCTCCTCTGAGTGTCTGAGCCACACAACTCAAACACAGGTCTCTTCACCACGCGGTAAGTTTGCACTTGGCCTTGTAACAAAGTGTCCCTTATTTTAGTCGTGTGGAAAGCACGTGTTTGGTTGCATAGACACCCCATTTCCACCAGATGCGCAGCATGCAGCCACATCCCAAAACACATCACGTGCTTCTGATCAAGCAGCCTGCCACATGATCCAACCCACACATTCACTGTCGGCAGAAGACTAGAGATCTGTCCATCCTCTTTTAGGTGATACGTGCATTTTAGCCACAGGAGAGAAACATTTCTGGTCAGGCGATGGCAAAGATGCTGCAAGGTCATTCGGAAAGAAAGGGAGGGCCAGATGGACTCACTGGACACATCAAATTCTGTCTGCAAATCACAGGATGAACTCTCAAATCAAGAATATTGTATAACTTTCCTCAGGCAACTTATCAGAACTAAAATCTATGACAATTATTAAGTTAAACTAATGATATGTCTATACTGCAGCTGCGCTTTCATAGACACTATCAGTTGGTTTTGTACAACATAACTCAACAGCAAAATCAGTCTGGACAAGGCACAGGATTTCAGCCCATGCCTATTTGTCTCAATTCTCAGAGCTTATTTTCGCATGTTGAAAGTTAACCTGAGTACTTACAGTTTTGTGGACACATCCCATAAGAATTGCTTGATTCTTACTTAATTTTTCTAAAATCGGAGTTCTAGAGCAAATAATTAATTCTGTGAATCTGTTATTCTAAAATCCTTTCAAAGTTTGACTGCAGCTAAATCAAAACTATTGTACATATGCATACATGTTCTGTTCTAAAAATGAACAAAAACTCACTTAAGAACATAGATCTATTATAAAATGAACATTGTTTACTTATTTTAACAAAAAGAAAATTGTGGTAAATTAATTATTTTTCTAATGAACTTCTTCAGGAATAATATATCTTTCCTTTTGGAATAACTAACATACACAGAGGCTAGACTATTTCACTCTGCAAGATAACAAATAATTAGAACACAAGAACCACTTAAGGAAGGAGAGGCTCAAGCCTGATACCACTGGAATGGGTCTTCAGCCTTGGCATTTGATGGGAGCAATTGTTCACCAGGAAAAAGCACAAAACCACTTAGAGATCCATTCTCCTCTGCTATTTATTTCAGGAAATAGAACTCTGCTAGTTACACCTGCTGAGCTGTAAGATGTTCTGCCAATAAACAGAGTTTACATGTGAGGATGCTACATTTCAGCCAAGAAATAAGCTTTGCGACTCAGAAATTCTGTGCCAGAAAGTCCATCGTATTTCCCTGCCCTTCATGTTTTTGATTGTGATGATTTTTCGACCTCCATAAATACTGAGAATTTTGCTCTGCTGGTTTTGCCAAACTGACTAAAAATGAAAAGAGTAAACTACAAATAAAAAAAATAAAGAGCAGCTGTAAAGTCTAAGTGTGGACGAGATGCCATTTCTATCTTAAAGAAAACTATGCACTTATCATCATTGTGCAAACACCTCACTGAAACGGACTATGGCATTTGCTCAGCTTCAAGTTAAGCTCTGCAACTTCTAGTGCATCCAAACCCCAATTTCCATTTGATTAGGCTCAGTTGTTGAGTTGTTGCTCACTAAATATCAAAACAGTTTTAGTTTCTCACAAGGGTGTTAGACCACCTTTCACAGTGGTCCCTATTCAGGAACAGATTCTTCTCTTACAGTTAAGTCAATTTCTACTCCTCCTCCATCAAACAAAGAATCATTCTCTTGCAATGTCACAGACAACTGCCCAAAAGGAAAAAAAAAACTCTGGACCTGACTGAAGAACTAGAAGGGTTAACACAAGTGCTTATTTCATAACTTCTAGAAGAAAAAAAATGTATGAAATTTCAAGCACCCCAGTAGACTGAAATTATGAGCTGAAGCAAGTGGAATCATCTTCACATGCTTTAAATTAACCTCCTCAGAAGTGCCTTCAGAAGAACAGTGCCATAAAAATTCAAATTAACTTTAATTTCTGTGTGAACAGAAAGTCTGCACTTAATATTGGTAATTTACAACAGATATCTTGTAAATCTTTCACAGCACTCTACAACTTCAAGGTAGCATTAAAAGCATATTTCTAAGCAGTTTGAAGTCTAATCCACAAGGAGATTGCTTATCTACAAAGCTACCTGCATGCTGTAATTTTAAGAATTATGCTGAGAAAGGAGTCTGTAGAATATTTTAAGACACTTTTCTTCAATACTGCTTACAAAACTATTTTTTAAAGTATCTGTCACAACTTTCCTAACCCTCTACTAGTGAATTGCCCTCTGCTAACCTTAGGGGGGAAAAAAAAAAAATAAATCATTTCCCCAGATATTTGCCTGTTGAACAGTGGTTCAACTCAATTCCTTCCTTCCAAATAGCTCTATTTTTCTCATTGTTTCTCCCCCCAGTTATAGATTTTTCTCATTCTGTTCATCCTTAGAGAGAGCCACCTTTTCCTTCCCAGATACTAGCTTCTGAATCATTAATATAGCCAGAAAACAGTAGCAGGAATACTAGCTACTTTAAGAAACTGCATAAGAAGCAGTTAAGCTTTCTAACATCACATAGCTGGGTCAAGTCAAACCAGTGTAACCCATATATTGGGTGAGCCTGGCAACAGGAGATTCCCTGGGAGTACACCACATGTTCAAAGACATTCATTTTAAAGTGTCTTAACGCAGCACTGCTCAGCAGCTGAGTTGCCATAATTTATTGTGTAAGGCTGCAAGCCACCCAGGGGCAAGATATAATGGTGGCTTAACACATTTACCTTACTATTGGGAGTGGTTAAAAACACACGCACAGCCAGCTCTGATCATCTGCAAGAGATCATTAAGGCATTATAATTGACCTTTTTTGATTTAAGGCTTCTATTCAAAATTTTAAGTGAAAAATAGTTAAAAGCCATTATAGAAACACTTCTGTTCCTTAAAAGAATTCCATTAAAGAAACATCTGATCATCCCTCTCATCTGTGTAAATTGCCAGCCTGGGTGTTGACACAACACATCCTTGGCTGTTGTAGAACCTCATACTGGGATCTCTGTGTGTGTACCACCAGAAAGCCTCCTCTCACGTATGCCCGCAAGATGTCAAGAGCAGATTGTAAATCACTGCACATCCTGGTGCACCCCTGCACAGGCACCGACAGCATCTAGCCTGTAATGAAACACTGTCAAAAGACTACCCCTTAAAGCAGAAACTTTATCACAAGTCTAAGATGAAATTATGTTGTTACTCTGGTCACTGAGAATTTTACAGCGGATTTGAAGACAGCCAAAATTTCATTGCTATTTTTTAAATAAAACAAAAAACACAGGGGACATACATTAACTGGAAAAAAAAAAGCTTTAGATTAAATATGGCTCAAAATGCAGCATCTGCCAAAAAAAAAAAACAACATCAGGCATCACTGGGAAGGGTACCAAGAACAAGGCAGCGAGTCATTTTGCCAGCATACAGAGCAGTGGCACATCCACCTCCTTAGCATTGTACACAAACTTATTCTCCACACGTGAAGGTCACAATGGACTAAGAGAACACACAGAGTAAGGTGACTAACTCAGCTACTCCTTAGAGAGCAGCTGCTTTACAAGGAGACACTAGAAAGGCTGGGACTCTTCAGTTTAAAGAGAAGATGGCTGGCAGGGGATAGGACTGGTGCTTACAAAACTGCAAAGGCAATGGCTATGGTGAATCCAGAACAGTTCTTCTGCAAATCCTGCAATACCACGCCTAGAAAAGACTTGGTGAAATTGGCAGATCAGTTTAAAACCAATGAAGGACAGTACTGCTTTGCACAGAGCAAGCGCAGTCAACATCTGGAATTTGTTGGCACAAAGTTGTACAGACAGACAGGACCAGCACATTCAGGAAGGGACTCGGCAAAGTCATAGACAACAAGTCCACGGATATCAAATGAAACAAGCAGGGACACACTCTCCAACATACCTGGTCCAGCAATTGTGGATACTGGTGGAATATTAGGGAAAAGAGCGGCAAACAGTCATCTGGCTTGCATTAAATTCCTAAATTGCATTTCCATGTGGATGCAGACACATCAGTGTGTTAGATGGTCCACTGGTCTGCCCAAGCTGGACTTTTAAGTTCTTAGGCATATTGTCATGAAGCAACAAAACAATCCTTTATGTTTTTTCCTTCAGAAATACGGATCTTACTAGGAATTTTGATCAAATTCAGCCTAGCTTATACAGGTCAATAGGAGTTGCAGCTTTTTAAGCCAAGGCTGCTGTTAATCTTTGGAGGGGAAATTCAATGGATCATTTCAGACTGATACATGCAAGAGTCAAACAGTCACAGGTATTAGACACACATTTACTCCAGTATTTCTACTACAGTTTCAATCTATTTCAGTGTAGCTAACAGGCAGAACCTGAAGCATGGCTTGTAAGGCTCATCTTGATAAACAACACGACAATGTAGCACCAAACAATGCTGATCTCCCTGGATTATGCATTCTGAACATGAAATTTTGAATTTCTGCAGTGTTGTTTTTCTGGCTTACCTTCACCGCGCTGAAGCAGAAAGCGTATAGGACAATCAGAACAACAAAGCTTCGGGAAATGCTGTATATTGCAGATACAAACCCAGCAGCAGCTGAAATACAGACATTACATGCTAGTTAATTTCTTCCTAAACGAAAATGTGCAATCAAAAGAAAAAAAAACCCCATAAACAGCTCTTGCATCATGAGATGTATAGAGAATAAAATCAGATATCACAAAGCTAGTTGGTGAAAGAACATCTTCAATGCTCACAACACTGTTTACAGCTAAGACTGAAAGCCCGATGCCACAGTACTCCATGTGTTTTCCATTGACCTGAGCTCCCACACTACTGCTTTTTGTACTGAACATTGTTTTGCCAAAATATTAGCATGCCTCTTCATGTTGCTATCGAGAAGCAATGAAGCGATCTACAAAACTGGCAATTTTCTAGTCAAACTCCACGGGGAATTTTCCTCCTTCCCTTTTCTCCTGAGACATAGGCTCTGATATCATCCAAAAGCATCCTAACTTGCTTGGTCAATCATGATTTGCACCATACTAAGATACAGGAATGAACTTAAAGGGAGAGAGAAGGATGCCAGCTGATCTCTTGCTACAACCTCCTTTGAGAGCTTCCAGAAGCAGGGTAGGAAACGCTGTCAGACAATTAGGAGTTAAGCAGTCTCAACAATGGAGACACAGGGCCTGCAAAACCGTGCTCTAATTAGGGTTCAACATACATTGGAATCATCATTATTGACAGGATGAGGACTTTATCCAACATGTTATTTCCTCTAGGTCTGCTATGGTATTTATGAGACAAAAAGCAAAGAACATCCTTATCATCTGTACTTGTTTTAACCACTTGCCAAAGGCTACGTCTACAGTAGCAAGCAGAATGATGCAATAAGCGTGGGTCTGCGGAATGAGATGTGCTGAGCATGTCATATCCATGATGTATATGTTTGAAATGCCATACTGCAGACTATCTCTAGTCTGGTCCCACAGACTGTATGCTCATTGGTGTCTGGAGTGCAAAAGGAGCACCTTAAATTGCACCTTTCTTTTAAGGTTCATCCAAATGGAATTAAGTTTGCATACTCTGACATCATTCCATGATGCAAAACAACACGTGGTAAGCGGTAACAAGGAGGAAGCTTGTTCCTGATCCAAACTAAGATGACAGTGTAGATGCACCCCAATCTCCTCTGTTACTTAAGTTATACTGAAAGCAACCACTACCAACAAAAAAATGATGCATTGTCTCTCACAGGTCTTGATTAATCTCTGACTGAAATAACATCCCCCCCAAAAAACCCACACATCCAATATCTTGTGAACATGCTTTACCATGGAACAATGCAAACTTTTTTTATTTTTATTTTTTAAATGGCATTTTAACAGAAAATTTAAGAAGTTTTTCTTTTTTTATAAATATAGTAAAGATTCACATTGGACAGGCCAGAAAAGAGCTCTTTGATGCCAACCACATTGTGCAGCCTATAACACAACTTGTATACAACTTTTCAAAAGAAAAAAAAACTAATCAAGGAGGGCTTATTACTATTCACCCCACTGTTACATGAATACCATTAACTGTTTCAGCTTTAACATATGCAATAATATACTCTAATCTAAGGTTATAAGCCCAGAAAGGAATAGCTCAGGTTGCAACGGGCTACTTACCAGAACCACCAAAAAGCAACATGTCTATTTGCTCCAAAAGATATATACAGAAGGTGTTGATTTGAGGGAAAAGACCAAAAAGAGAAATTGCAGGAAAACAATATAAAAACACTAAAGAAAAAAAGAAGATGTATGTTAGAACACAGTCATACATCACAACGTATGGAGAACAGAGAAACATGCATCATACCAGAATTAGAAATTGCTGCAATAAATTCTGAAGATTACTCAAGTGAGCATACCTTAACAGCAACGATTACACTTTCCTTCTTGTGTATTCAAAATAAATTATGCTATTTTACACATAAGAAACTAAAGCTCAGAGGTTAACCTTAAGCTTTATTTTGGATAAAAGCAGCAACAGAAAGAACAGTGTTATGTAGCTTCCTTACTGCTTCTTAAATACTTTTGAAGCTCTGTTTGTTCTATTTAAAGCACAGAAATTTTAATTTGCGGACTTCAGGACTTCCTCCATAAATCTGAGATGGTTCAAGCACAGGTATAACAATTCAATATAAACAAACAAAAACCATTGTATTGGCTAAGATCCTAAGTATCTTGGCTATCACAGTATCCTGCCTCTGATAGGAAACAACAGTAGGCACTTAAAGCAGCATGTAAAAATGCAACAAACCTATAGTGAAACTTCCTCAGAAAATTTCCTCAGCTTCCAACAGGACGGACCTTGACTTTGCAGTAGTGAAAGAACATCAAAAACACTGAAAAACTCAGGGATAAAACCCAGACTGATATCTTTACATAGTCTCTTTCTAAATAGAAACACAAATTTAAATGGCTGCCTTACAGTTAAGGAAAAGCAGGAGTCAAAATTCAGGTAACTGTGCTGCTAGTCCTATGTTCTGTTCATTTCCAGATACTTCTCCTTCCCATCCATTTACTCTTAGCTCCACCCAAGAAAATGCTGAGAACAGTTGTCTAGTGAAGCATCTAAACACACACACACTTGACTCAAGCCTCCAACACTGTCAACTTTCAAGGATCCATGCACATATTTAGTCATATTCTTACTGCTTCATTCTTCTAGTACCAGAACGTTCTGCATGGTGAAGGACAGAGTCATGTCAGCCACTCTTACTTGTAAGCAGGCATGTATTTGTTAGTTTACACTCTAGGGAAACTGCAGTTTCCTCCTATTCATTCTCATATAAAGTAAATTAAATAAATCACTAGTACAACTTATTCCTCTTCCCACCCCAGTCAAATTTTAAGAAGCTAACAATAGGATCTGTGTTCTTTGTTGAATACTAATTTCACATTTTACTCCCAGCTCCTCTTACTAATGCATCTTGTGCTAAAATAAAACAATACACCATGTTTGATCTGACAGCTTTTATCTTCATTGTATTATACAGTACTGCTATCTAACATTGTAAATCTTGCTAAGGAAGTCAAACACAGGAGAAAAAAATGACATATTCAAGTGCTAAATACAGACAGGGCTCACTTAAGTATACTTGCTTTCACAATGTGTCCTTCCTCACAACTTCCTGCCTCTGGCACAAATTATGCATACATAAGAACATGAGGAAACACCGTCTTCTTAATCTTTTACATGCAAATGCCGGTATCAATCTCCTCTTCCTTTACTACTATGCTCTTCTTTTAGATATTCCACCAAGCCATACCAAGCCAAGCAAGGACCAAAGACAGACAATGGCGTGACAGCAAACTGCTCGGCAGGCCATGTGGACTCGCAATGGGATCAACTGTCCCAAAAATTCACTGCTGAAACTCACAGATCTTGTTCCTCAGGCAAAAGACCTGCAGAACTGCCAGAACTCAGGCTACTGACTTACAGTCCAAACAACTGCCTTTGCTGTAGCAACCTCAGAAAAAGCTGAATAAGAGCAGGGGGAGGAAGGACACCACCAGAGACATTATACTGTCAGTACACCAAAATACATAAGGGTGAATGTAAACAAGGAGGGAAAAGTTGATTGACTTCAGCAATTCCCTTATCTCACCCTCCCTCTATTAACACCTTGAATAATCCTGACAACTTCTTTAGCTAAGGTAGCTTTGTTTGTCTCATCCTGCACAAATGAGTACACCAGAGAGGAAAATAAACAGTTGTCACTTACAAAAGGATTGAATTTAGGAGCAGTAGTTTCCCTTGCGGGAAGCAGACAATAAAAGCAACTGATTAAACAGTTGGAATTGCATAATGAATGCCAAAGAGAATTTGTTTAAACATCACACGTTTCCATACAGAACACCACCTTCAAAACATAGTAATTTTCTAAACTTCTACACCACTAAGAGATGCTCATGTGAGCTGCTGGCATTTAGCACTGCAGGTTGAAGGTTTCCTCTAAGCAAGTTGCTATCAGAGATAAGAGCAGGAGGGAAACACAAATTTTGACTTTGGAAACTTCGGGTCTTTTGAGAAATGTAGAATGGTAACTCTGGGGCAATGTCACTGCAAACATTTTAGAAGTTTAGAAAATTACTATATTTTAAAAAATGGTATCTCTGAGTATTAGTCCATTTGCTGTGTAATGATACATACTTTTTCACAGGCAAAAAAAAAAATGCATTACTTCAGTGAGAAATAGTCTTTCTGTCCTCTCCCTCCTGAACATAGCAGATGATGACATTCATAGAGGCTTTCTTCCCCTGACAGAAGCTCAATCAGTGCTGAAAGTAGCAGGCAGAAGATTTGCTAGCACCAAATTTTGCCACCACTTGATACTTACTCTTCCAAGACATCTGCCAAATAATTTCACTCACCTGTCTAATGCTGTCCTGGTTTCAGCTGGGACAGAGTTAGTTTTCGTTTTCAGTGGCTGGAAGAGCCCTGTGCTTTGGATTTAGTATGGGATTTGTTACGAGAAGAACGTTGCTAGCACACTGATGTTTATAGTTGGTGCTGAGATATCAAGGACCTTTCAGCTTCCCATGTTTTGCCAGTGTGCAGCACAACAGGCTGGAGGGGAGCATGGCCGGGACAAAGGGCCCACAACTCCCCTTGTGATTTCAGCTTACCAGGACTGAGGGCCAAATGGGCCAATGGAATATTCCATATCATGCAACATCATGCCCAGTATACAGATAAGGGTTGACCAGGAAGCTGGAATTCTCTCTTTTGAGAGACTCTCTTGGTCTCTGCTCAGATTCTCTCTCTCTCTCTTCATGTCTCTCACTCACCCAGGATTGCAGTGTTGGGACTTAACCTGTTTCAGGATTGCTTCCTGCAACGGGCGTTGGTCACCGGGTGGTGAGCAATTATACTGTGCATCACTTGTTTGTATATGTTATCATTATATATGTATATATTTTTATTATTATTTTCTCATTATTAGTTTTAATTTTATATTATTATTAAATTGGTCTTATCTCAACCCATGAGTCTCCCTTCCCTCTTCTCCTTTAATTCTCTTCCCCATTCCCCAGGAGGTGGGGAACAGTGAGCAAGCAGCTGCATGGTGTTTAGCTGCCCATCAGGTTAAGCCACAAAAACTACTTAAATGGTTTCATCACAAAAACTATTATACCTTAAGTGCACAACTACTTTTGTCAACTAACCACACCTGTAGCACCTAGTAACTGAGGTTGGCTCTGTGTGCTTACTTGCACTACATATGTTAATCTAGTGAAAAGGTCAACTGAAATAAGGAATTCAAGATAGAAACCATAGCTAGAATGAATTAAAGCCATGATCCCCCAACTAACATAAATCAATAGCAGAACTACCATCAATTTAAAGTAAAACAGAATCAGATACTAAATAACTTGCAAAAAAATTGATCTGTTAAAAGCCACACTTCTGAAATAATTAGGTTACACAACTAACAAATTTCCACTGATTTTCTTTTATAACCTTGTTACAAGACTTCTATCACAGTATGCTATGCGGCATCACACTAGTTCCTTGTTAAGTCCTGTCTATGATTTCCACCATTTTAGCTTCTTACCATTGTAAACACCTGAAATCGAACACTCTTCCTTTCCTCGGTATTTGTAGTGTATAGTCAAAAATCCCTTGATTTCCCAATTTATCAACTCTGAATACTACAATAAGTTATGAGTAAAATATAAATTAAAAAGTCACCATATGATAACAAGCCAATAAAAAGATATCAAAAACATCTAGCAAGTGGGCAAAAACACAAAACAATAGCAACACTTCATTGGTATTCAGCGGGGCCAACTTTCCTCCCAAAACAAATACTGCCCAAAACATTTCTATACTTTCAGTGCTTAAGGGAACCTGTACTCAAAGCGCAGCAAGATGCTGGAGGATGCTGACTGCCATGGCTTAGGGAAGTAGCTGCACTGTGAACACTTGCAAGGATCGATGGCAGCCAGAAGCTGGGACTCCCATAGAGACAAAGCACGGAATCGCCAGAGCACAGCACCAAGCATCGCTTGAACAAACACACCCAACAGATTTGCCAGCTCCCAGAGCTGGCAAAATAAGAACAGGGGACAAGCAAAGGGAAATGATTTCTTCTCCCTCTCTCGTTAAACAGATGCCAAGTGGGGAGATGAGCCTGTATTTTCTCTCTCCCCCACCCTCCCCAAGGCCATTTCAAGAACCTGCTCCACCATCTCTTTTGAGGCCAGCCAAAATTAGCACATTTATAACCACACTTTTTTTTCTTATACTGGTTGCTATAGTTTTTCATTTATCTCTATCCCAAGAGTCATTTAAGATTCTTGTTGAATTATTTATTAGCATTTTTACTGTTCACCTTTGACAGGCAGAGAAAATAAGACGTAAGAAGAAACTTTAATGAGACCATAGGAAAGTAATGAAAGAAGCTAATGAAAATAAGTGAGATGCAGGTCTTCATTATTCCCCTGTTTCTGGTGAGAAGGATTGGGAGTCAATGAACCCATATAAAGCATCAGAAGGCTTTCCTAAAAATAGTATGCCTTTCAGGCAGTAATAACCTGACTTGACTATAGCAAAAAGCAAGTACAACAGTCACAGGTGAACAAAGACCCCAAAGGTCATACACACTATATCACAAAGCCTTTTCCTCTACCACAGTAAGTTTTCCTGGTTCTAAATTCACAAATCAATGGGTCGTCTTTGGTATGCCACGGCACAGCTCTTGGGAATTTTCACAACCTTTACTGTAAAGTTTCACTTTCTTCTTCACACCTAACAATGTTGCACTACTTGACCTGAGTCCAGGTCAGCACTCATATCTGTGACACAACTAGGGAAACACCACAGCTAGAGGATGCAAGTGTGTAACAGGAAGCAGTGTCCTGACGGAATGGGATATTTCCAGCTGTGGCCACTCCAAATTAGTGCCAAAGGATCATCAGTCCCATTTTGGGGCAATACCTGAATGTCTTCAGCCATCTCTGGGTATGAATCTAGAAGGAAATAGGTTGGAAGAGCTACTGCAAAGTGACTGCTCCACACTAACTCATCATGTGGACAGCGAGATTAAACTAAAGCAAACCAAGAAAAAGCATGTTCTTCACGAGTGGAAGAATGACCATCTGAGGATTTCGCATAGATGAGCTCCCAGGCATTAAATTTTAAACGCAGCTTATTCTGCAGTAACTGCTCCACACAGACAAATCCTTACGAAGATTAACTGCATTTCACAGACGATGTCTTTTGCTAATAACATCAGCAACTGTTAAGTTTTCTATAGAGATTTTCCTACGAGCTTCATTTCATTAGGAACTCTTTTTGCATGAGGGAAGGTCACCAGCTGTCCCCTGCCCTGCGCTCCCCCCGGCCCGTTTTAAGTCATTCCAAATGTTTCTATCAATTTGACTTAGAGTTGTGCCTCCATAACATGCGTCTGATTGCCAACATGGGAAAACATAGACTTCCCTGGCTAATGCTTAATTCATTTTTACAGTCCTAGGAAAAAAAATATTGACTCACCTATTGCATGGTCTCTGGCTGATTGGAGAGATCTAGGTGAAAAAAGCTTCAAGCCATACATTGTATAAACTGGAGGATTTGTGTCTTTAGATCCAGCATCTAGCAGCAAAATAAGGCCACACAATATACAAAAATACACAGGTCTGCTGTAGGTTATGATTTTATTGTGTCCCTGGAAAGAGAAAAAAAGAAAAATAAAGTGTTTGAATTCTGTATTCACTCCCCTACTGCATGCACTGCATTCAACTGGAGAGAGGGTCAGGAGTCAGACAAAATATTTTAATGACTTATACATACTAATTAATGATTAAAATGTTACAAGGTATTTTATCTTCTCCAGAGGAGACTTTCAAAAGGCAGAAAAAGCAGTTAAGACTAACTCCAACAATCATTTGTGCTTTCGAAAATCTAACCTTCTGGACCTTTCAAAACACACTAATTGCAGAATTAGTCATTTTCTGTGGAGGAAAAAAAAAAATCTCAATCTGTCTGAACCTTTCTTTTCAGTAGAAAAAGATTTTTTCTCTATATTACTTGTATTTTAATGAATGTCTGCTTCAGGTAGCTTGGGGGTTTTTTATTTACTTTAGGAAATATAAAATGAATTTTTAATTGCATCCTGGGAAGTAAAAAATAGTAGAGCACCTCCTAGGTGCAGCGTGAGACATGGAGATTGATTTTTTACACCAATACAATTCTTTTTTTTTTTTGTGGATTTGGACCTCTTGACAGCAAATCAGTGTCCCTCCTGGAGGAGGTGACACTCATCAGCAGTTTCCAGTCTCTCTCTCGTGCAGCACTTTGAAACCATGATCCAAAGGAATTAATATGTAAAAGGATCCTTATCTTATGTCTTTTATGCACATCTCTCATGATTGATTCGTGCAAATCCTACAAAACACTGCTGTGGGGCTGCGGACCAGGGAGAATAACAATCCTTTAAAGAAAGTCTTAATAGTTCTCCTGGTAGCAAGTTTAAGGATAAATAAGATATTTTAAATACTGTGAGTGAAAGGTTTCCCTGACTGTTAAAAGCCAGAAGCAAAGTGACAAGGATTCAAGTTTGCCTTGAATAAAGCTGCTGTGAAATTGTTCTTATTTGTAAAATGTAATTTAAGTGAGCATAATAAAAGAACATTTCTTTTTTGACTCTACTTACTGATTTGAAACAGCAGCTGTATGCATTTGGCTGCCAGCCAAGCTCATATGTTAGCATTGCCATTAACTGATCTGTACTTTTTTTGGGATCAATCAGTTAACAAGGTGGCAGATCACAGGGAACTAGCAGGCTTATATGGCACCTCACATCCATGGAGTATGAATCAAGTCAGACCGACAAATCTCAGCTCTTTAATAAGAGTTTCAATTTTACTAATGCCTTTTTTTTTTTTAAATAGGACATATGTCCATGAAAAAAATCAAAGGAGAATTAGAAAGATAAAAATCTGACTTAAAAAAAAAAAGCACTTAAAATATTACTTTCTGGCTGTTTATTTAAACTTCAGTTCATTTATCTTTAAATACGAGCTATGCCTTAGGAAAAGAAACCAGTGAATATTGTATCTAAACAATTGCTTAATGATTTATAGCCTGATGTGCACTCCAGACCAAAGTCTATTTTATCGTGATGTTACATTCTTGCCTTATCTCTTGAATTACAGAACCCAGGTTTTATCTTTGCATGGTAATTATTTGAAGACAGTTGAGTAAGAGTCAATGACTACAAGTCCAGAGGTTTAGCTCCACACACACCTTTCAGTTCCAAGCAGAGCACTGACATATTCAATTAGGTTTACAGAGCATATTAAACTCTTACTTCTAAATCAATCACTCTTACCATGCTAATAACAATAATGCTAGTTAGGATTGCGGGAGCAGCTTTCAAAGGCTGCCTTGAACAGCCTGCAAAACGTGAGCAAATAATACCTTCCCTCCTTTACAGGTGGTGGTGAGGAATGAGACAGGATGCTGAAGAGGAAACCTCGCCTGCTCTTGGATCAATAGGAGCAAAGCAAGAGCAGCGATGCAGCCCTTCACCAAAATGGACATGTGGAGCACAACTTATTAATAAGATATTTTCAATATTAAGAGCTCATTTTGTTCTACCAGACAAACCCATCCCATTGACATACAAAACCAATTTCACCTCGGTGAAACAACTCTGCTCTGCATCGTCCTTCAGAAGAATTTAAATAACGAAGCAGGATTCCTTTTATATTTTACATCTAATTTGTTGAACAATCATTTTTTCTCCACTGATAAAAGTTTCAGTGAAAACTCTTCCTTTCCCTTAAGTCTGCCAAAAAACGTCACTGACTTGTTCAGGTTCATGTTTCTCATGAACATGTTTTAGAAACGTATTCCCATCCTACAAACATAGCATTGGTGCACCTTCTATTTTAGAATCATAGAATTTCTAGGTTGGAAAAGACCTTAGAGATCATCCAGTCCAACTGTTCCTAATCCCCCATTAAACCATGTCCCTAAGCAGTTAATTAATTTTGATAAAAATACGAAGATTTTCAACAAAGCTGGACTGATTTCACAAGCTCTTCCATTTAGTAAAATAGCACTTCTGACTGCAAATAATTTTAACGGGGAAATTCCAGAAAGATCTAATGATTTTTTTTTTTGTTTGTGTGCAAACATGCAAGAGGAAAAAGACAGAAGGCTTGATATAAAAGAAAAGTGCGTGTGCTCAGTTCTACAGAAAAGCTTACAAGGACAAATTAAACATACTTTTAAAGCACCCTATGGGATTTATGAAACTGCCTACAGTAGCTACCCAACTGAGTCAGCTATCTGCTTTAGCAGGTAATGGGACCGAGACAATGAAGTTATTACGCACACGATTCTGTAAATCTTATGAAGAGCATGACTGCAGTCTTTCAAAGCTCAAATGCCTTTGTAAACCTGAGCTAGATCTTGAGCTATACAGATGTCTTATGAGGGACTTACAGTCAAGTTCTCATGATCGTTCTATATTGCCGTTTACTACAGACACAGCCTTTATTGCCCAATCTGCTGCTGTCTTCAACCCATATCAAGAAACTCTGTAGTCAAAGCCACTTGTCTAAAACCTTGAAATGCACATGACGAGGATCTCTTGGATCTCTGATTTTAATACCCTGCAGTTATTGGCACCTCCCTTATAGTCTGCTGTCGATAAACTGACACAACTCACACTTGGGATGGACTTTATTTTCTTCTCTTTACCACTCCAGTGAGGAAGCTGTTCCCAAATTTCACCTTCCCAGAAACACATACCCCTGTGTTAACAGCAACTAAAGGCCACCAGTTCCCAAGAGACCAGAATTGGAAAGGCTAAAGCACAGGCTGACAGGAAAATTGGGCTCTTGTCTTGTAGCAGGCAACAGTACTAAACCTGCAGCTACAATAGATGCCAGTAACCAGCATTAGCTGTAGAACCTGGGAAGTTCCAACTTAAACACTAAAGCTGATCAAAACAGAACTATTATCACAATTCAACAAAATGAGTATAAATTAATATGAAATGCAAAACATTACCTGAGTTAGGTAGGTTCTTCTCTATATACTGAAACTCAGCCCTTACCACAGTGACAGTACACAGACAATACACAGCATTCAACTCAGAGAGCCTAGCTGTCACAGCATAGTATAGGGAAACAAATAATCTTATCTCCAATAAAATTGTACCATATTACCAGCCTTTACAGGGTTTAGTCAGCCAGCTCTTCCTCAACACCAGAAATTCAATACACGGGCACTCGGGAAGGAGTTCAGAACAAAAGTTTTATGCATCCCCAGGCACTGTGCTTTCTGAATTCACCGGCGGCTATTTTAAAGCAGAGTCTTCCAAAATGGTACAAGATAGAGATGACAAAGTCACATCAAACAGTAACAAAGTCTGCATGTGAGAGATAGGAGAGAAGTTTGGAACCTCCTTGGTGGGCATGGATAACATAAGGCATTAGTGGCTACTCATGGATCCAAGAATAGAAATTAATTCAGTGTGCAAACTGTGGCTCGCAATGGTTTGTTTCACACTGAAAAATCTCATCTGCATTTTCATTCACGGACATGGTACTGATCATTCTTTAATCCTTCTGCTGCTCTTCATCCTTACAGTAACATCAAGAGATGTTATTCTCTTTAATTTTAATGCAGTCACATGAATTATGAAAGAGTACATGGAGTATCTTTTTTTGCCTTTTTGTCTTGTTTTTCGTGGTGTTTACTAGCTCAAGTAAGCCTTTACAAACACCTATTATGTTAAAAAGCTATAATGTAGAAATAGTTTATCTTCTATTTTAACTTGATCTATAATGTCTTCCACCTTTAAAACAGTCTGTGGAAAAACTCTCCAAAATTTATCTCCATTGCAGCTCTTATGGTGCACCAAAAAGTCTGCAAGAAAACGCCCCTGACAATCAAAGTTTTAGGAAAGTACATGGAAGATGGGAATACACTCACTGTGTGACACATAGAATATAATACAGCCAATAATACTTGTAACGGTATTAGTTACAAGTCTGAAATGCAAACCTGGATTCTGCATAAAAGATGTTCTGTTTAAACTTCATTAGCTATTTTGCCTTTAATACTGTAAAAAAATATGGGCTTGATAGGTTTATAATGAAGTTCTGATTAAACTGTTTGCCACCCACTTTAAACAAGTGTACATATTACTAATGTCTGAATAACTGCAAACTATTTGATTACAGTTCACACTATTATGTCTAGACACATGCTAGTTGAACTGACAAATAATATTTTAGTCCCCCAAAACCCCAACTTTTTACTGAGGTAGGAATATTTCTTTAATGTATTGAAATAGTATCCTACAATGTGTAAGTTGCTGTTTATTAGCCTTCTATACTCTTTGTGCAGGCAGGTATTTCCCAACAATACCAGAAGTTTGCTCCATAATAACTGGCATGGAAAAGAAACTAAGAATCTTCTGAAATCTACCTCAGTGAAATGTGTAGCATACTCTTGCAAATAACCTCAATTTCAAGTTCAGCCTGTATTTCTAGCCTCTAAACTGACAAAAATAATTGCTCCCTGCCAAAGGGAAATAGTCCAGCAGACCTGCAGTTTTCAACGTGCTGGTTTTGAACCCTGAGGGAAGAGAGAGGGTCGTCCAAAACATTCAAAGAGCTAAAGAAACATGAGCAACTACGCAACCAGTGTAAAAGCAAGCAAGGACCTCATGACTACTGAAATGTCTTCCAAGATCCACAAACCAAAAACACTGGGACACTGGCAGGTGGAGAGGTCAGTTTGCAGTTGCAGAATGGTGCTCCTAAACCAGTCCTATAATGAGGACAGACTTGGATAAGTAAGTGGTTCCTTGCAAGGTGGTTGTCACGGTCAGAGTTCAGTTTGTCACATATACTCAGCACACAAATAGCAACCAGCAAAGATCCTTACAAGCCCGCATTCACCCACAGATTTGGCCATTTCTTCAGGACACAAGCACAGAAACTGTCACCATATTATAATAAAGGGAAAACACTTGTGCCATTTGGTGAGCTAATAATACTATTGAGAAATACATCTGCAATACCAGATTAAAAAAAATAAAATAAAAATTCCATCTCCAATCTCAAAAAAAAAAAAAATATTTAAAGCCTCAACTGACCAATGACTGAGCTGCTAATCTACAACTTCTGCTCTTTTCAGTGACTATTTCTAAAGGAGAGCAAAGAAAAAGCTTATCTGATGTCACAGGGTTGAATTTCAGCAAACTAGTCCAGATGCGTTTGTTTTTACTGCATATTTTAGTTTAAAGAAAAAGCACTTTTCTAACAGCAGTGCTAAATTCATATAGCTTAAAATTAAACATAGTATGAAGTCTCAAAATCACAGACATCTTGCTCATTTTCATAAATCATCTAGAACAGCAAACTGCCTATACCTGTGTTTCGCTGAACAGCCAACTGTTTCACAGTACTCAAGTGATAGTAAAGGAGAAAGACTTGTTCTACTGGCTGAGACTTACATGTATTGGTGAAGCAGGATCAGGCTGAACACTCTAAAAACAAAACAGAAGAAAAGTTTGCTTACAGGATTTTGCCTTCATAGAAGAGAATTTAGTAATAGGATATGAACTTGTGTCCTACCTTTAGGAGAGAATACTGGCAGCTGGCCATCACAAGACAGAACAACAGAACCCAAATGTCTTTACAGAAACCTTGATTCAGAGTCAGGAATCCAAGAAGTGAAACGAGAACTACTAGAAGGACGGCAAATACATTCTCTTTTATATCTTCTGTCCTATGTGAATAAAAGTGTTAAGAGAAGTACAAATATTTATATATTCATAAGAGCAAGAGAGGTCTCTCTGCAGCTGGTATGAACCATCATTACTGAAGTTATCGGAATTTACAGGATCTGAGGTTTTGCTCCCAAAACTACACTTCCACGTTCAACAGTTCTTCGCCCCCGCGCCAAAGACCTTATCCACTGTGACAGCTAAAACATATAGAAAAAAAGCATATGCACTGAAGTCCAGCAGCCTCCAATATCACTTCCCAAATACAATTCCACAGTGGAGCTGATTTGAAGGTAGGAAGGTGTATGTTTATTAAAACAAAACACAACAAAAAACACACACCCAAAAAAAACTCCAACACTTTTAAATGAAGAAATAAGGCATTCATTTAATGAAAAACATCTGATGATAAAGAATTAGATGAAAGACCGAATTTGTCATCTGATATTTTATTTGTTTTATCTGTTCTAACAGAACATGGCAGCTGAGATAAACTCTTTTGTTACAGCCTGAATATTAACATTGGTTTTTTATCAGCAGATGCTTTCCATGCAATTAAAACCTGGAGATAAGACACAACAGATAAGTAAGTATCTGCCTTGGCCCTAAGCTCCCTGAGTATATGGCCTGATTTCTGCAGCATGTAAAACTGCCGTCTGAAATTTCTGCTGTGGAGCCTATATTAACATACATGGCATAGCACCCACCCAAAAGCAGAGACAGGAGAGGCAGCAGCCATTAGGTATGTAGGCTAACATGTTTGAAGCTCCTAGTAGCCCGGCAGATTACTACATGAAGCCTAATAGCAAAGAGTACTGCCTGAAAAGTGGATGCTAAATGAAACTGACGGACCAGAAAAAGGAGAGATGCCAAGACAAGAAATTTTCTCTAAATAAACAAACCCAAACTGGAATAGAGGGAACAGCTGAAAGAGCTCCTGAATATCACTCTATAACTCTTTTTTTTTTTTTATAAAAAAGATTGGAGTACTTGGTTTACAATACCCTGGGACCCTTCCACTTCTGCATTTTTTCACAAAAACCTGATTTTCTCATCAGAAAGCTCAGAACCATTGGATCCAACAGCTGAGAGTCAAATTAAAGACTATTCTACAGGCCTGGTGCTCACATGAATCAAAATCTCTTCTTGAAGAGGAAGGGTAGCAAGAACTACCAACACCAACTCTGAAGAAAAAACATTTTCTTCAACTTACCTACTCAACTTGAATGTAAGACACTAAATACAATACCCCCTCTTTCCTTCTCTAGTGGTCTGCATCATTCTATGGACATGTTGAGCCACCCATCGTAACACTACATAGAATTGCATTAAAAAAGGACTTACCTGTCCAATAATGCCAACAAGGCAAGACGATCATACCAGACTTTAATCCATTTGCCAGGGAATATAATAAATCTGTAAAACTGCCTATTCAGTTTCCGTTGTGCTGAAGAACACGAAGAATCCTCAGGGTCCTGGCTGGGTTGCTTTAAAAACAAACAAACCAGAAATGCACAAAACACTCTGACATTGACATATGGCTGCCAGCAAAACAGATGTTTAAAAGGCCAAATTTACATGAAGTTTCAGATATATATCTTTTTCTTTTTCCTAAAAGGGATGGTGGCAGCATGTTTATTTTCTTCAGTTTAAACTAGAAACAAAAATATCAAACCAGCTTAATTATTGCAGATGGACAGAAACTATATGAACTGTGGAGCTCAACACTGATAATATACTTTAAATATAAATACTAAGTATTCACTTTAAAAAAATAATTATTTTTTCGTCTCGATCCACTGCTTGATTATTTTCCACGCGCAGGCTAATTTCAGCACAACAAAAAAACCACAAATGATAGGATAAATTCTTGGTTTTAACCAAAAAAATCAAGTAGGCTTTAACATCTAGAGGTTTGACTTATCAACTCTCCTTCCAGAACTCAGATCTGCTTATCTTTCCTGAGATGATTCTAATACCACATCAGGTGTCCATCCTCAAGAACAGCAAAAGGAGGAAAAAAAATTGCCAACGAGCACAAACAGCATAACCATCACTCGTTTAAGAGTCTCTTATCTCACCATCATATTCATAAATCCTTCCTTTTGAATATTGCTTTTGTCAAATTCTTTTCTTCTTGCCTGTATTTGAACTATAGCATTTCAGATCTCCCCCAACTCTACACCTGCACTCCTTCACCATCACTTGCAGGGTGGCAGGCTTATCTACAAACCATCAGCCAAGTTTACAAAGCTAGACAACAGAACAAAAAAACCTATGCAAAGCAGCAATTTCTTCCCAAAGTACATCAATAATTGATTTGGGGGGAGGGGATATCACTTATTTTTCTTTCAAGATGAATTTGTCAGATTTGCAACCAGTGTGAAGCCTAGTGGTTTTCAACCTCCTTCTAGCCCCCCTCATTGTTAAAGATAATTAATCAACATTAGATAATAAATCTATCTAGTATGGAACTCTAGGCAATGTTTACATTAGAAGTGTTTGCGTGAGATTAACTTTCCTAGTCAGAGAAGGGGATTTTTGTGTGAAATAATTGATTGCTTTCTTGAATCCTAACTTAGAAAAACACAGATTTTTAAACAACCTGCCCACCTGCACACCTGCACAAAGGAATTATTTCAATAACCTGAGAGAAAATTTAACAATTTTTAATCTTCACTTTCCAGTTCTAATTTTCACTTTCCAAGAAAAGGAATTTTACACACAATTTACATGTGACTTAACGTATCGCTGCGTATCAACTGGGAAACAAGTCATTGATAACCTCAGTCTGCTGGCAAAAGTGAGGTAAAACAGGCCAGTTTAAGCTTCAGAGAAAGAAATTCAAAGTTTATGCATTTTATCTCATGCCTCCAGTTGACTAAAAGCGTGCAGCCATGCAGTACTGGGTATCTCAGCTGCTATCAGCGCAGCACAGTAACTCACTCTTGTTTCTGAGCATTCAGACACACAGGGGATGTTGGGCTGTCAGCATTCTTTCATTTATTAACAATTCCAAGTAATTTAAAAGCTGTGAGACTGATTGCAATCTTTTCACCACGCTGATTTTAGAATCTGGAAGTAGTTTAGGTGAGCTAAATTTTAATATTTCTAATATTAAAATTAATTAATTATTAAATTTTAATATTTTTAATATTTCCAAATTTTAATATTTCTATTACCACTTTAAAAAGTTGTTTAATTATGGAGTTAGGGCATTTTTAAAGAAAAAATATATTTTTAAATATTACAGTTGCTAATACTGGCACAGTTTTGTTTCTCATGGGTCCTATTTCCCAACAGAAAGTAATATGAAACTCAATCAACTGCAATCATTAACTTCACTCATCTAATCTAGATTGCTCACTAAAACTAAATAAGAAAAATCAAAATGGTGGCAGAGTCTCCTTTAAAAACACCTGAGGATCTAACTGTTCAGTCCTCAGAACAGCTTAATACGTATTTAACTGAGTGCATAAGTGAACATTTTGGCTCCTGAGGAACTGCAACGTTTGGATGAAGTCCATTATATGAAGCTTGCAGTACTTGGGCTGGAGTCAGAATTTGGAGCTGTGTTTGGGAAACTCTCTGAGCAAGTCCTGAGCAAGTCACTAAGTCTAATTGTGTCTCCTATCAAAAAAGGGCTTATAAAAATACACTTCACAAATTTATAGAGTGCCAGAGACAGTCTGAAACCCTAGCTTCATTGAAATCAATGACAAAACTTTTCCTGACTTACACAGACTCAGAATTTCATGTTTAATAGAAAAAATTCAGAAACCAGGAAGTTCTGAAATTACTGCCTGGCCTTGTTACAAACTTGCTGTGACCTTGAGCAATATGCCTTACTTCTTAATGGTGCAGTTTTTCCAAAAGAGAAAAAAAAAAGGGCATGATAATTGTTCTCTAATTTATAGGCAGTTTACAAGATTATAAATATCTGGAAAACATCTGAGCGGTTAGATGGAAATCTCTGTCTGAGCCCGAAATACACAATTCAGGACAACATCCTGATTTTTATTTAAAAATAGTTCTATTATACAAGTTGCTTCTAGCTTGAAGCTCCTGTGCAAAATCTAAGATGAAAGATAATTAACTGGCATTTTAAGGTTATTCATAAGTATCAAACTAGAATTTGCCATGGAAGAAAAGAGAAGGTTAAAGTTATTATAAAAGGAATTATAAAAACAGATTACAGCCTTAAGCCATTGGTCACAGACCCCAAACACTGTAAAATTCAAGTATGTCCACATATTACCATAAAACTGAACTCTGAGGGCCTTTTTCTTTTACCAGCTGCATTGAGGAGGTGGCTTCGACATTACACAACAGTCATCCAGAAGTCTGGTTGCCTGATTCAGAAAAGTGAAACCAGACACAAGGTTTTAGGACACTAATGAATCTGGAGTAAACACTTCACATTATTAAAATCTGGTGGTGTGTCTAAAATCCTATCAGCTGTGTCCTCCTTCTTTCAAATGAAATAAGATCGAACATAGAAGATAAACTTTTTAGGTGATGGAGTCTTTAAGTACTCTCCTAGGGCACTGCTCAGTGTCAGCAGAAAGCAGCTGAATATATCCATCAACATAAAATACATCTTCTCCCACATCAGCAACATCAGGCAAAGTAGGATAGAAAATCAACAAAACCGTCTCGGGAACAGGCCTGCCGCATTTGTTTATAAAGCAGTTTATCAAAATGCTAGAAACTGAGATATTACAATGTACCCGTGGGCTTTCTGAAAGGGTCCTTCGCGCCACCATCAGTAGGAGCTGCTGCTGAAGCGCACTCGCTGCTTGATCCCCGGAAGACGGTTCTTGGCTCTCCGAAGTGGTAGTACTAGAGGAGCTGAACTGTATTTCACTGTGCACAGAGGGGAGAGAGGAAAGAGACTGGTTTAAGGAGCAATATTCTCCTAGTATTTCTGAAACATTACAGGACGCCGCCTGTATTTACATTATTGGTTGGCTCACAGGACATGAAGCCTTCCACCTCCATACCTAAAATCTAGCCCAGGTCCACACAGCGGTTAACACCCAAATTTAGGTATACATGGTCCACTATATCCACCACAATGAAACAGATAGTTCTGTATCATAATTTTTCTCATCCTGAGATGAGCACCTATAACGAATTACAGTTCAGAAGTGCCTTTTCTGTCCACTGACAATAAATCAGGTCAAGAGCTGAATATCTACAGAGTAAAACTACAAGGTAGTTACTGCAGATACCCTGCATTAGCTTTCAGACAAGCTCTTAGGTACCAAGCTAGTCTGACCTCACCTGCACTGAATCCAGTGAGTACTAATTTACCCTACTGAGAATTCAGGCTACAAGAACTTCTTTCTGCCCTAGCAAGATGACAACGATATATGAGCTAATTCACATAAGGCTAGCTCAGATATCCCCATACTGAGTATAAAACACCCTGGGGGGCGGACCTGAGGAAGAAGACGCTATTTTATTTTTTCCCCGTGTTCACCGCTTTATGTTGTAGATACAGCACTTAAATAGTTTACTTGAGGAAACTTTCTGCACTTGTAGCAGTGATACCTGTTGGTCTGCTACCATGACATCACTGACTCTTAGTAAGAACTATATTGAAATTAAATAATTGTTTCTTGAGGAAAAGATTTATTTTGAATACTTCTTGCTTATTCTCTTCTAAATGGGGTTTATACATCAGGTATCCTGCTCCAAGCTCATTACCACCCTGCCTCTGGATGCCTGCCTTGGGCTCTTACTACTTTCATATCTGCATGGTGTAAAAGCACCTCGGTGCTCATACAAAGTAGCCAATATCTATTGTTCTTATTTTCCATAAAGGAAGGATAAGCAGGAGGAAACTAGAGCGATCTGCCTATAGTCAGCCAGGAAGTCTGTGGTAGGGCAGAGAATAAAATTCTCATCTTGCTCACTCTACGCGTTCCCCCCAAGCCACCTTATTAATGTCAGTGACCTCAACCTTCCTTGCCTTTGGGTACCAGTTCCCAAAGCCTGTCACGTAACCTTCGCTACAACCTTGCAGCTATCCTGCACGTAACTGGGCTGTTAACTTAAGCTGCAGTGTCTCATTTGTGCTGGGATAAGGTTCAATGTCCGGATAACTTAGAAGCAGGGCTGAAGAGCCACACCAACAGCTTGAAACACACATGCTTTCTCCTTTTCTCTCCAGGATGTGCTAGCTCTGCCTGGGCCAACAGGAACACCAGCAGCCCTGGGATGTCACCAGCAAAGCCATCCTAGTCTCTGAGCCAGGTAGTTGAGTTTTTTCAAGGCCTTGATTGCTATCAGGCTTGGATCCCAGATCTGCTCTTCACCACCTGCCACTCCAGCAGAGCTATCAGCTCAGTAGCAAAGGAAGCGCCCCATGTTCCTGACCCTAATGGCTTCCCCTGTGCTCCCCACTCCTCCTGCTACAGGCAGAAGCATGATCTCCTCCACAGTCAGGACAGCTGTCATGTCCCCTTTGGACAGTACTAGGAAACAAGGATTTGGTCCAATGCAACCCACTTGATGTCCCAGCCACAAGGCAGCCCTCCGTAAGAAAACATCTTTGGGGGTCTTGTTCAGCACCTTGTCAGCAGTCAGTAACAAAAGAGTACAGCAGGGATGGAAACAGATCCAAGATCCTGGATCTCAATCAACAGATTTAGGCAGGCAGAAAGGGGAGAAAGGCTAGAGGCATGCCTCACAGGAGGAAGACTCCCACAGATTAGGATGACTACAGAGTAAAGCCATGCCTTTTGCATATTCTGAAGTGCCCTACTCACAGGTGACTTCATCCAGCTTCAAGGCAGGCAATGGATTTTTTGGTTTCTGTTTCTTCAGGATGAGCTATCCTGTTCCTTGTCACTGCGGATGCAACCCTAGGACTCCCTGTTCACAGCAGGAAAAGGACAAAAGCATAGCCCAGGATATGCTGGAATGCTACCTTGGGAATTCCTGCCCAAGAAGCGACCCAACAAAACAGCAGGGGAATAGAACAGTGGCTGCTCATGCCTTCCTAAACAAAGAGTTAATCTCCAATAACTTTCTGCATCCCTAGCTGCCTTTCTACAAAAGCCAAGTGGAGTCAAGAGTATTTCTAGATTGGACCATGTCTTTTATCCTGTGTTTATCCACAATAGAAATGGCAGAAGGACGGATAGATAGGCCAAGATATTCCCCTGGTACTCTGCTCTATCAGTTCTCAGAAATCAAAACTCTCTTACTCATAAGACTTCTTCCAAGAATAAACTTAAGAGATCCAATCATCTCCCACCAGACTTGAAGATAAACAAAAAGCCAAGAAAGCCCATAGTCTGTTTTCTGTTTATTTTTTTTTTTCAGAAAAAAAATTATAGCTCCACCTGTCAGCAACCAGCAGAAGAGACTGCAAGCAACTGGGACACTGTGGGAAAAAAGTCAAAAATTTCATAGGCTTGAAAAGGAAATTATGGCAGAGAAGTTGGGAAGGCAGAGCTAGCAAAGCAACAATTTCAAAATCAGAAGCCGTCATCCAGCCTTCATCTGCCTCCAATGCCGTTTCTTCATCAGCCTCAT